CAATAACACATGAATAACACGCAATAACACATGAATAACACACAATAACACTTGAATAACACGGGAAAATTCCCGACAGAAAAAAAAATGGCGCAGTAACACGGGGAATATTCTTCCCGTGTTATTAATATGTTATTGTGTGTTATTGATGTGTTATTGATGTGTTATTGTGTTATTATAACACCAAGAATATTCCTAGGACATAATAACACATGAATAATACACAATAACACATGAATAACAAGGAGAGGAATATTCCCCGTGTTACTGCGCCGTTTTTTTCTCTGTCGCGCAGGGTGTCGTGACTTTATTTTATTGGCTACGCATGTTACTCTACGTACGTAATACTGATGTAATATTTTTTCGGTAAGAGTGACACTAGAGAGTAAGGGGGCATTGAAGACATCAGACTTTTCAAAACCACTAGCTTACAACAGAGATGATTGAGGAAAAATTAAGGATAAGATGGCAAAAATTATGCAAAAGAATTTATATAAGAATATAATAGAATTTAACTATCTATAATAAATAGATTTACCAACAAGTAACTCAAAATGGCAAATATATTTCCTGCCATATCTGTAAAAACTTAAAATAAAAAAAAAATAAAAAATAAGACAGTGGACGAAAGATTTGTGGATAAAACAATGATTTTCAACAATATTGGGTGTAATTTTTTCATTATTTTGGGCAAAAAATATTTTACAAAATAAGATGCCTTAATGTTCGTTCGTGTTCGGTTCGTTTACACCCCTAAGGAGGCCCACAAGAATGAATAGGATCAAATGACAATAGCCAAAAATTATTTTCCTTTACTTAATCAATTATGTTGGCATTATTTATATTGATACAAATTACAAACACAATATATAAACACTAAATAACATTTAATAATAGTATTTGTTGAATCCTAACTTATCTTTTGATGAGCACATCGTGAGAGTCAGGAATCCAGAGAGGTGAGAGAAAGATAAAGAGAAAGAACACAATAAATTCTCCCAGGAGAAGCCCGAGAGAGAGTCCCTTCATTCCTTTTGAGACCGCCTATTTAAAGGAGTCTAATTAGTACAATTAAGGAAGGTGTGAACCGTTGTGGCAACCTCTCTTGATAGAATTAATGCGATAATTTGAGTTTCATAATATCGACAGAGAATAACAATTTATAATAACTTATTAGTTTAAATAAATATTTTCAGTTGACAGATAACTGATTGTGTCGGTCGTCAGACTGAAATCTAACTATGTCGAGAGGGGGTAACTGGTTGGTCTGAGTATGGTCTGTCGTCTTGACAAGAGGTTTGGCCGATTGTTTTGGGGGACCTGTCGCTTCGGTCGGTTGGTCGACTGATGGGTCGACTTTTTTGTTGAGCAAGTCATGTCCCATTTGCTGTTTGTCTCAAGTCTTATAGGTCCCCTGTCTCGTCTGCCTAGTTTGTTCGCCGGCTTGGTTAGATCTTCCCTCTCACAAGGTATTGGGCGGATCTTGTTGCTGCTTAAGCGGAGAATCTGCGAGATTTGTTGTCCGGATGATTTATCTTACTCTTGACAGATCTTGTCGTTACCAAATAGGGGACTATCTTCAGAGATATGACCTATCCCATGTTTATAGACGCATATTCTCATATTTAGCGTAGAATTGTCGGTCGATCGCTTTCCTCGGAAGGAAGGTTCGCATTTTCCACCTATTATTTTCTTTGAGATTTGTGCTGAAACCTCAACTAGAATTTCCCAACTTCAATGATATAAACTCGATCATGACCTTTGTGATAAATTATATTAAAAAATAAAAAAGTTGGACTAAGAGGTCTCACCAAAAACAAAAAAAAAATTGACCTAGCTAGCTATAATGTTCCTCTCAAGCCCCTGTCCACTTTCCTTTACATTTCGCTTCTACCTTCCACCGTGAACACTTAGTGCGGTCCCGTGATCGTCGATTAATACGACCGGCGCCGTAGTTATTACTCCACCCACTACCACTCTTCTTTTCAGCTCCTTTCTACGATATCTCGATCAGCCTTACATCTTTCACTGACGCTCTTTCCCCTGGCAGCAAAGTCATGGGACGAAGAAAGGCAAGCTGGCTCTCCTCTGTTAAGAAAGTCTTTATGCCTAACTCCAGAGAGCACGATAAGGAGGAAGAGGGAGCTTCAACGCATGAGACGCCGGAGATTGTGTCAGTTGATCAATTTCCAGCTGAGACGTCACCGGAGGCGACGACCAACGGCGGCGGCAGAGGGAGTGCGGCATCTAGGGGTGAAGAAGAGGAGGAAAGGGACCACGCAATTGCGGTGGCTTTAGCGACGGCAGCTGCTGCGGAAGCTGCGGTGGCAGCGGCGCAGGCGGCCGCTAAGGTGGTGAGGCTTGCGGGTTACGGCCGGCAGCAGTCCAGGGAGGAGAAGGCTGCTATTCTCATCCAATCCTATTACAGAGGAAGCTTGGTATGCTTTCTTTGTTGAATATCTGAAATTTAATTGGAACATTTTATATTTCATCTTTCTTAACTCCGATTTATATGCTTTTTTTTATCTAATTAAAATACATCACAAACATTTTTTTGCAGGATATTAATCTAAGCTTTTTGTTTAATAAATAATTTCTTTTGTAATACTAAAAATGTTAATCCGTGCAAATTTTTTGTTTATTTTGCAGCTCAAATTGTGCGAATCTTATTAAAAAATAGAAATTAGAATGAAGTTGCCACAAACCTACCGCAAACATATGAAAAGACCAATTTGATTTATCAACATCAAATACTTTTTTAAAAAAGCCTATGATTGTCTAGTTAAGGGAATAATAACATATTTATAAATTATATATCACATATCAAGGTACGATCAGTTTTTAAAATAATACAAAAAACTGTAAAAATATAAGTGAATGAATGTTTAAGGAGGAGAAATTATTGCGTATGAACACCGCATGCATCTCTGTATGCGGTTCCTGACCGTAGATCACGGCCAGGATTATTTCTATTTTTTTTAAAAGAAAAAAAAATTTAGGTGGGGCCCACCGAAATACATCCGGACCGTAGATCAGGTGATTTACGGTCCGGATTGGACACCGCACGCAGTGTCCACGGAAGCTGCGGGGGGTGTCCGATCCGTATGGAATAATTTTTCTTTAAGGAGGGTGAGTATCTCCGATTAATTGTTTAAATGCATTTTTTTATTATTTATACCGTATATTTAAATTGTATACATTATGATTTATTGTTTCTATAAAAAATTGTAAATAAACGACAAAATTTGTTTTTTAATTATATATATATATATATTAAAATATCAAATACTAATAAGTATCAAAAGCAATTATTCAATTTAATTTTGTGGTTAATGAGACTTGAAGCTTCTCTACATTTATAGCAGTTTCTATTAGGAGTGAGGGCGTCATTAAATCATGTAAAAATTTTAAATTTAGTCCCATAACAGACAGTTTTAAAAAATGCTAACATAAAATTATTAATTAGTGATTATTTGACTATCTTACATTAAAACTTTAGTTAAATAATAATTTAATCTATTTATATATTAAGCATTTGAGCTCACCTTTCATCCGTATCCATTCTTACCTATTTAACAAATATTCACTACTGCAAAACGTGCAAGTGCATCAATAGCCATACCGCCATAGAAGCATTGCTTGAATTTGTGCGGTGTATGTTCATTTAAAAATATCATCTTTTTAACTTAAAAAAAGTGAAATACAGTTTTCCATACATTGGTAAGATTGCATATATATTTGTAAAATTTGAACTTTGTGTTAGATATGTAAATACATATGAATTGAGTGGCATATACGTAAATATTTCTTCTTCTCTTTTTGTTTTTGAGTGAATTTAATGACAAATGAACATACGCCGCACAAAATTCTGAATCTAAAACCTTCTATTGCTTGTTCAATGAAAAGGTCTAGTATAAATAATAGTTAATATCACTCTGTTTGACAATGCAGTCAAATTAATATTTAGAAGAAAGCCTTCCTCCGTATATCTAATCAAATCTGGTTTTCTTAACCACTACTAGTTAGCAGAGAGTTAGAAGCCCATTGACAAATATGTACCAATCATATCAAATACAAATTCTCTGTAGTATCCAACAGTTCTGTTATAAATAAAGAAAAATAAAACAAGCTCTTAAATATCATTACTTCAAGACACGTAAACAATTAACTGTTTCTTACTCCATCATCTTCATTTTCTTCGAGAACCTTAGAAATGAAGCATGTCAGGTACATCCGTGAAATCAATATTTTACCTTCCATCAAATCTAATGGCTCAAATTAAACCTAACCAAACATATAAGAGAAAGTAGACGTAAAGATGCGTCCTTGCCAAGTTAAACCCACGAGAAGACATGTGACATCAATGCTCGCTGGTCCAATTCTTGCTTGTCAACATCTAACTTCCCAAAACAAAGGCAACAAATTAATTAAACCCATTCGACCGGACTCACGTGAATCAACCGTCACATTTCGGTTGCCCAATTTGTTTGCTTAATATTAATTAATTTTGGCTGAACGCAGGCTAGGCGAGCGTTGCGAGCGCTGCGCGGGCTTGTGCGGCTGCAAGCGCTGGTGCGCGGACACAACGTGCGGAAGCAGGCACAGGTGACTATGCGCTGCATGCAAGCCCTCGTCCGAGTACAGGACCGAGTCCGAGCCCGGCGGCTTCAGCAACTATCACGAAATTATTGCGGCCAGGAAGGAGGCAAGTTTTTCAGCAACAATCCCTTCTATGATGAAAAATGTCGGGATGGAGTTTACAGGTATAAAGACTTGTTTATGGATGGTGGCGGGGATGGGGAGATGGGGTTTGATGATGAGCAGGACGAAGAGAGATTCGTTAATGGGGATGAATGGAAGACTCGGGAGCGTTTGGGGGCGAGGGGTGGGTGGGATGCGAGGCGGCGGAGCGCGGAGGACATTAAAGTTGAGTCACAGAGGAGGCATGATGCAGCCGTCCGCCGTGAGCGTGCCCTGGCTTACGCTTTTTCTTGCCAGGTATTGGTTTATTTTGGCTTTAGCCAACTAATTATTTCCAATTCATTTTCAAGCTGTGGTTAATTTTAAATTGCCAGTCAATTTTTTATAAAAAGAACTGATAAAAGTAATTATTTATAACATTAATATTCAGATTTTTAGACTCGGCTTTTCTATGTTTGCATAACTAACAGCTAAATTATTTTATTTAAAATATTAATAGCTCAATAATGAATGTTCATTTGCAATGATTTTCGATAACATTAATCAATGATGTTTTTGCATCAAATGTACAAAAATATATTTTACTAGATTATTTGAATTGGGAGGTAGCCCTGAAAAAGTGAACTTTTTAATGATAGCTAAATATCTATCCCTTTTTATTTTTGAATTTTGGATTCATTTTGTATATATAGTCAAGTTCATATTATTAATTATAATTTGCTACATAAAGAAAAATGAGGGCTTACATACATAGGGCTTGAAACATGTGTTTAGGTGTGTGACCAAAAATTGTAAATTTACAAGATTAATGCCTCAATATTTATAAATGCCCAAAGGTAGCACTCCTTTCACGCTCCATACACTTGTCTACTGCTCAACCAATGCATCTGCGAAATTCATAAGAGGACAGAATGCCAAGGGAGAGAGACACAAGAATAACCATAGAAACAACTGCTTCCAACAAATACATCTACTTTGATTAACCATTAGAACTCCCATTTTTTCACTTGCGAAAAGAAAATAGATAATTAATATATAATGATATTTTAGGAGCAATACACTGAAATGTACTCCCAATGAAGTTAGAAGTATAAAGCTGCATTGCAACCATATTGGGTATCCATCCATCATTGCTCTCTTGCCGATAATTTTGTGGCTCATGACAACTACAAGAGGCTAGATGACTTGTGGCCAACGAGTTGTTGGGGAATAAACAAAGCAATGTGGGTGCAAGTACTTGGTAATGAGGAAATATGACTAGGGGATTGGTGGTGTTGTGGTGTTATTTTGATGAATATCACCGCAATATCATCACAATATCATCAAATCTGTATATGCAATGTCCGTCCGTAATATTTATTAGTTGGTAACATTATTTTGTCATTTGTGAAAAGGGTGTGCTTGTTCTTCCCTACGCCTTCCACATCAAAATTTACTGGGTGTGTACAAACGAAGAGTGAGAGGGAAGAGAGAGAGGCCCTCTCTCTCCTCATTTGTGGGTAACATTTATGATTAATCTGCACCTAATATTTTTTCCTTCTGCATGGCTAGATGGTCTGCTGACACACTCAGTGTTGCCATATTTAGCGCGTCAATCGTCTTTTGCATGCTCATTTCCATCTATAATTCTCATTCTCATGATTTCTCTCAAACCTTCAGGCTTACCCTTCTCATTTGAGCTGGTGAACGGAGCTGTAAATAAAACTAGGATTAGAGTGCTATTTTTGGGTGTTATTAAAGATTTAATATGGCAAATATTTTATTTTGAATATTTTAATTGTATTGAAACATTATAAATCTCGTAAAATTAAAAATAGCCCCAAAAAAATTATTTCATCTAATGTAAAATGTAATAGGACAAATTTTAAAATAGTACTTCCTAAAAATTTAATATTTAAAATTGATAAATTAAAAAAAAGAAAATTGAACTATAGTAAATTTGCCTTATGACATTTTCTTTTCAAAAAATCAATTTTTTGTGTTAGATGTGTAAATATATAGGATTTTAAATTGAATAATTTTGTTAAATTTGTAAAAAAAATTAATCTTATTATTTATCCGTGAAATCAATTTTTATTATATTTTTAATAATTAATAAATACAACGTTATCTTATAAGATGATCACCTGATTATAAACTAAATTAATATAGTTTTAACATCTAAATTAATGTTATGTTTGAAAATATTGGATCCAAAATAAATTCTTACAAGATCTGCAGCGCAAATATTTTATTAAGATTAAATTGATTACATATTAAAGTATTTCCTTAAAAAAAATTACAAATAAGCGAAAATTGATGAAAATTCAAATGGTAAGTTGGTAGCTAGAGATAGTTGATTAAAAATTACTTACATACAGATATCACTTAATTTCTATGTATTTATATATTTAATACCAACACTTCAATTTAAAATCATATATATTTATATGTCTAACAGAAAAATTAATATTTTTGAAAAAAGAAAAATTCCACGTGGCAAGGCCTTGTCGATTTAGATTTTATTTTTAAAATTTGTGTATTTAAATATTATGTTAAAATTGTTTTTTTCTTAATTTGTTCAATGATATATATATATATTACCAACATATAATCAGAGATAATTTCTACTTTTTTTCTGAGCTGATTTTAATTAGTTTTTGGTCAAACAACTGCCCTGTCCACGGAGCCCAGTTCTAACTCTAAGCAATGTTCAATTCATTCGGTGTACCATTTCTCGTATACATTTATTGAATTGTGAACTAATTAGTGTCCGCCGGAAAACATGATGATGCAATCCAGCCGCAGTGGCAGCCAGAGAGACCGCCATGGGGTTGGAATTGGATGGAACGCTGGATGGCAACCCAGCAATGGCAGCATCAGCAGCCGCAACACAATCACCCAACCGAGCTCGAAGCATCCGTCGCCACCGCAACAAGCACCGACGACCTGTCTGAAAAGATGGTAGAGATGGACACCGGCCGCCGAAGCCCAACATATCGCCGCCATCCAAAAGACGAGAGCAGCGGAAACGCTAATCGCCCTCCCAGCTACATGGCTGCTACACAGTCGGCGATAGCCAAGGCCCGAAAGCAAGCAGGGACGCAACCACGGCGGCCATCGATGGTGGGAGGAGGTGGAATGGAGTCCAAGCATGGGAAGAGCG